GGTCTCTTCAAGATTTCACGGATACGTACTGTAAATCAACTAATTCGAACTCGAGTGACGCGTAGCGGAAAACGTAACGAATTCCAATTCTCGAGAATTTTTTAAATTAACTGATGATTCACTGAGTCGTAAGCCTTTCCCAAGTTCAAGTAACACAAATTTTTGAGACTTCTGCTAGGAAGCACAACAAGTTCCTTACACACGACCTCTTTTTGAGGTACCCAGGCTCGACTAAGGATAGTAGGTAATAGCGCAAAATATGTTCACCTTTTCCGTTCCTAACTATTGTCTCAAGTCCTTTTCGAAGTATACTAGTTAGACTAACCAATCTATACTTTTCTGAGGCCTCCCGGTCACCCATTATTCATCGCCTCAACTGTCACCGTCTTTCGATCCTTTGGCATCTCTCTGCTGTAATCTTTGCGAGCGGCGTGGCAATGGCCGGATGAATTCCATCACTCCCCGCTGATTTAATAGGTTTTAACTCTCAGAGTATCCTGGCGCTGAGATTTTGTCTACCTGTAGATCCCTCATTAAGTGAACCCGTTCCTGTGGAACATATGAAGGAGGGCTACCCCCGTGGTCCACCTGACGGATGCTTCAAAAACTGCTTGAGTATTTCTCAATTTCTAATCCCCGACTGCACTCCTTCCCCAGCTTTATTTTGTAGGATCCCAACTCATATTTTCAAGGCAACCTTCGATTGTATAAAGGAGTAGAACGTTTTAGGATTGGTTATAGCTTGCTGAGCAATCCTCAGTTCATGATCCATTTTAGCCTAAATAAACTAAGTAATCCAAATAATTTAATTACTAATTGAAACCCCTAAACCTATCGAATAAGACCCCATAGAAGTCAACTCTGTCTGAACGTATACTGAATGTTACCGCATCTGATGCACCGTAGTTAAAACGAAAGGTTTTCTATCCTACTTTTTTAGTACTGTTTGTTTTCAGTCATCTCAACTCTTCACTGTTTTTAACTTCCTGTTTGTTTAAACAATCAGACAACGTTTTCGGTGTTCGACCCGGGACATATTGCTTGGTCAGTTCTGTTGAGCACGGTGTGACCTTTGTTCGATTCTCTTCTGCATTCCGCTTGGGTAAGCATACATCCAAGTATGGTTTTTCTGTTTTGTTCAATTAATAAAATGTGTTTTAGATACCGTATAAACGTCGCTATCTATCGTCTGTATTCGTGTTTTCATTGAACGTTCTTGTCGGTTTCGGTTTCCTTGGAATCGTTCTTTGCTATCGGGTTGAATACGTTCGTTTCACTTCGGGATTGACCGTCGATACCGCGGGCGAATTTGTTCATTCCAGTTAATAAGTGATCGCTATTGCAAAGTTAAAGCCCCTTCGTCCTAGATCACGGTGTTGGTGTACCTTAATACGCGTATTGGAATGACGAGCTGAAGAAGAAGCAACAGTGAATATATATATATACTTCGACTGATGTTCCAACTGCAAAATATGATGTCCAAATGGAGCCAAACAGTCGCTCACGTTCTCCGATCACGCCAAATTCAAAGTGCCGGGCGTCGAATTAACAGATGAAGAATGATGTACGGTGTTTGTGATTGAGAAATGTCAATAGAGAAGCAACACAGATAGGGTTATGTCACCATAAATCATCATGGGCTTGAGAGGATTTTCAAAAATTCAACATGAAATACACCGGCCATCAAAATCCTTCCTGCACTCGTCTGAGTCAGAGGGCTGGCGCAGGTCATTGATTCTTGTCTACCTATCTATCTACCTAGTCCCTGCTGTCAGTGATTCTACCTACGAACTGTTCAACCTTCGCCGCACTCATTGATCTTGAACTCCGACGACTTGCAAGTTTCTTCGTCGAGATCTGCCTTCTGCAGCAGCGCGGTTGCAGCCAGTCGCACGATAACTTGATAGCAGTGGGCCAAATGAACATCATTACAGATAAAGTCTCGATGTGTAAACAACGAGGGGGAATGTGGGCGGTGTAACTAATGTTCAAGTTTTACGAATGAAATCATGTTCAGCATGCAGGTGATAGTGTGTATGTAAAAGGATGATTGTTGTGAGGACATGGGCCACAGCTTTGAGGTTAATGTCATAAATTGTGTATCAGTCAAATAAAAAGACAGTCACGAAATGAAATGGAGAGAACGTATGGCAAGGACGTGGAAGCACGTGTTCATACAGGTGGGGTGAATATCACTGAGGCGCAATTGGTACAAGGGGCAGGTAAGTCAATATAATACACGGCGGGTGTCCGCAACTCCATCACGTGACGGCATGGTAGTCATCTCCCTCCAATAAACACACTCGTTGAATGTCGTACACCTGTTCACCGGCAGATGTCTTCAATTTCACTGTTCTTACTAGCCCGTCTGAGTCCGTGTGGCTTTCTGTGACTACACCCATTGGCCAGTTGTCCCTTTGTGGCTTTTCGTCGGCCATAAAGACAACATCTACAACCTTCAGTGACCACTCTCTATGGAACCACTTCTGTCGAGCTTGAAAGGTTGGCAGGTACTCTCTTGTCCAACGCTTCCAAAACACCCCTGCCAGGCAGACCCGAGGTATAGCGGCCACTAATAGTTTTTGGCATATCTAGACCATCATTGGACCTCAATAGCAGAAGGTCACTTGGAGTTAGCGTCCGTCCTTATAGTTCATCGCTGGTGACGGGTACAAGCAGTCGGTTGTTGAGTATCATTTCGGCTTCTACCAGAAATGTACTCAAAGTTCCATCATCCGGCGCCTGTTGCTCACATAATGCTGTCAAGAATTTTCGTACCAACCGTTCTCAAACTCCTCCGCGGTGACCGCTATAGGGTGATTTGAAGTACCATTGGGTTCCAGGTGGCAACAGTCGGTCTTGCAGGGCGCATTTGTCTAACCGCATCAACCAGTCGCTCAACTCCTTTTTTGCACCGACGAAATTGGACCCGTTGTCGGAGAACACACTCGATGGATTACCTCGTCTACCCACAAATCTCTTCTAGGCCATAACAAAGGAGTCGGTCGACATGCTGTGTACGGTCTCTACATGCAAAGCTCGTGACTGCAGGCATCCGTATCGTTTCTCCATCGACATCGTTCGTCTCACCCATAGTGGCCCGAAGTAGTTCAATCCAGTTTCGGCGAAGGTCCACCAACCTGGTCTTACTGGGGAAATTTAGTAACGAGGCCATCAGTTGTTTGCTCAATGTAGCATTCTGCCGACGACAAAAGAGACAGTTGCCCACGATGCGCCTCACCGTAGCTCTCCCTTTCACTATCCGAATCGACGGCGAATCGTATTGAGTAGGTGATTTTCCCCAGCATGACCTTCCTGCATGTGAATATGTATGATGAGCGTGTGCGTGATGTGGTGATTGTTGGGCAAGGAGATGGGGTGTTTAGCGTCAAAGTCCAACTCAGAGTTTGTCAATCTACCACCTACTCTCAGCAACCCATCTACCAATATTGGACAGAGTCTTCGGAGAAAACTGCAAGGTAATGCATGTCGGTCGGAATCACGATTCCCTGTGCCTAACGTCTGAAGCTCCGACGAGAAGTCTTGTGGTTGAAACGGTTGAACAACATCAGCTTCTGCCGTTTTTAATTCAGTTGAAACGATGCGCCCAATATTCAAGGTGTCATTAGGTTGGAGTCCTCTCATAATAACTAGTTATCGTTTGAATCTGGTCCACCGGACAACCACCCTCAGCACCTTTGTCCATTGTTAAAAACGATACAGCTTCTGCAGTAGGATGTTGGTTGAAGCGGTGACTAACGTAACGGTCCTCTTAATCTGAAGCAACTCTGTTTCGACAGGGGGCATCTGAGTGTCGGGCCATTCGCTGGGCTAGTCTGTCAAAAAAGCTGGTCGATGTAACCGTGATCTTATTGTTTCCCAGTTCAGCACACCCCTGGAGCAATAGTCGGCTGGATTATCACAAGATTTTATGTGCCGCCATTGACACACCTCAGCTTCTTCGTGAATGACAGCCAACCGGTTGGCAACAAATCTACCGAAGCGCGTCCGTACATTGCTAGCATAGTGAAGAGCTATAGCGGAATCAGTCCAGTAGGTTGCGGTCCATTCAATCGTGTTCAAACATCTTTCGATCACCTTCACTACCCTCACGGCTACTACTGCTGCGGCCAGTTCTAGCCTGGTTATTGAGACTGCCTTTAGAGTGGCGAGCCTGGCCTTAGCGAACTGAGTACTGCTATGCTTCCTTCCACCTGGCCGAGACGAGCAACTGTAGGCCACTACCACGTATCCCACCTCCGACGCGTCCGCGAAAACGTGTAACTCAATTTGTTCTCCTTTGCGTATTCCTGGTATGCGACGAGGGAGCCGTATATCAGCCGGCTTGGACAGGCTCATCCACCGGTCTTGCATGGTCTTGTGATCCGCTTCGTATAGGGTTTCATCCCAAGTAACCTTTTTTCTACACAGGTCCTGCAGCAGAATCTTGCCCGGCAGTAGCCACGGTGCGACGAACCCCATTGGATCGTAAAGGCTGGCCAACGAAGACAGAATTCCTCTGCGAGTCGCCGTCGTCTTAGGTAGTTGCAGTTGGAACAAAAATTCGTCTTTCTCCGAATCCCGTTGCTCTATCTGTTGGTAACGGACTCCCCTGCAATTCACGGAGACTCGGTGCCCGCTCATCAACTGGGATACGATCGATTGCACGGCGACTGTTGGACATCTACTTGTTCAACTTGAACCCTCCCATGAGCAGTAGCTCGGATAGATCCGTAATGTGTCGAACTGCTTCCTCAATGCTATAAAAGGATCCCAGGAATTCATCCACGTTAAAACTATGTTCAACACAGGAGCCCACTGGGGTTTTTAAACGCTGAGCAAATTTGTTCACAGTCGATTTTGACGAAGGGAGAAGACATCGTTCCAAACGGGTGCACCACCATCCGATATTCCTGGGCAGGTCCACCTAAGTCTCTCTCCGGCCACCACCACAACCGTAAAGCACTCATTTGCCCTTCAGGGACTTTAACCTGCATCAACATCATCTCAATATCAGCCGCTACCGCAACTGACCCGAGACGAAATCTGCACAGCACCTCAATCAGTAGGGTCGTCAGATTCGAGCCGTGTAGTAGACGGTCATTTGGGGCAATCCCGGCACACTTGGCCGCACAATCGAGTATAAACCTGATCTTCTGAGGTTTATTGGGGTTTATGACAGGGTGGTGCGGAATGTACCCTAGTGGTTGCTCTTGTTCGACTTCTCCCACTTCGCGTTCGACATATCCCAACTCTAGAATGCGTTTCATGGCGTTACAGTAGGTCTCTTTTAACTGTGTTTTCTTTTTCAGTCGTCCGTCAGATAGTTGAGCACACGGAGGGCTACCTTTCGATTATCAGGTAGTCGATTTAATACCGTTCACCAGTGTAACGGCACTTAAAACTGGGTTCCGTGGTGTCGTGTCATTTCGGTGACGACAGCCAGGGCTGCTCGGTCTTCCATCGACATAGATACCCGGTTGTCTGCTATATCGGCGAACTGGTGGTTGTAAAACCGCTCCAGTTCGTCTCCTATGGCATTATGTGGCCACGAGATGAAATTCATCGGGGCTGAATTATTATCGCTATTATCGAGCGGCCCGCAGAGTATCCAACTCAACATCGTGCGCACAGCATACGGATCTCTACGGCCTCCTATCCTTTTGGTCCAGAACCAAATGCGCCTCGGGTACATCACAGCCGATCAATTTGTCCACTCGGGTATCTGGAACATCCTCGAACATCAGATCGTGCAGGTGAGGCCAGCACCGCGCTAACGACCGGATACTTTCGGAAGCGCTCGTTGGTAGTTCGGCGATAGTAAATGCCTGATGAGCCTCTATCGTATCTTCCCACGATGTGGGAGCTAACTTCAAACTCAGTTGAGAAGCTTGAACTGCTCGTGCTCCATTTACCGTGCTGATTACCAATGAGGTGGTTTGTCCGCCCAGGTCGTGTTCTCGCGCAAAGCTCTCTCTCACGAGGGTGGTATCCGAACCATTGTCTAGAAACGCCACGGCTTGGACCATGCCACGCGGAGACTCCACTTGGTTCGGTATTATTCCCAAGCGGACCGGCCCACTTGACACCCGTCCGATAGTGCAGACGGATTTTGGTTTTCGTTGGTTAAATCGTCCCGGCCATTGTTTGTTCGCGGTTCGACTCTTCCATCGTGGTGTAATAATGGGTGATGCCGAACCCTGCAATTGTCTTGACCACAGTTGGTTCGGTTTTTGCAAAGGGCTGCTCTGTAGATATCGCTCAAGCACACAAAGCAGGACGCTGTCTTTTTAGCTACTGTCCAGCGGTCCACCACCTTCATATCCAAAACCTCTGGTCAGGTTACAAGCTTGTGGACACCT